TGACTCGTATACTGGAAGTTGTTGAAAAACGTCTAGAAGATTATGCTAAATCGGCCATTAATTCATTTAGTCTTCAAACGTTAGAGGAACCAACGAAACTCTACCCGATAGGTGCTGCATACAATTATCGTGATTTGGCTACCGATGGTTTAAAGGAGGGGTACACATAAAACTTGAAATCGGCGCACTATATTTTTTGTCTAAAAATGATTCTGTGAGTAGTAGAAAAGTATTATCAGTTGTTTTTAACTCATCTCGCGTACGTTTGATAACTAAAATCCGAGTAATTCTTCGTCAATAGGGTGCCAATAGTTCACCCCTCAAAGAGCAGCTATAGGTTACGTAAAAGGTGGTTTTCTTATGTTTCTTTTGCGTAGGCGACAAAGTAAATATATCACCGGATAGCCCCGAAAATTCTCTACAGAATGTGTGGGCATTGAAAAAAGAAAACTTAACTGATTAATCCCTTAATATCAGGGCAGTGTGTATTGGATCTAAGGTCGAACTGGTTTCTTGAAAAAAATTATTAAGTAAAAAAGTATAATTTTTTCGAAAATCTTACTTAGAGCAACTAACTTCGATATAGGTCTGTAGTTTTAATTTGTGTGAATTCAGCGTCACAAGAGGCGTTCTCCATTGTGGTAGAAATATACTCTGATCGATGTAAAGGTGGAAAATGTGGCTCAGATGGTTAGAGAGGACATGAAGGCAAGGTTTCAAAGAGCGGATTACAATATTGTCCATTCCCACGGCAGAAGTGTTCTGAGGATCTTTTATTGCATCTCAAATGCTTCCTCGATTACCGTCATTCGCCCAAGGTTGGGTCCCAAATAGAAAATGATATTTGTGAAAGCGAACCGCAAAGTTAGTACAATAAGAAAGAAAAAACGAATTAAATATTTCGCAATTTTCTTTTGTGGATTTCGACCTTTTAAAACCAGTTGTCATATATTCAGGCACATTTTGAAAAGTAGATCTGAACTTATTCAAAGCTGACCAGGAACGTGACGAATTTGGAACGACAGTATCAGGACCAGTCCCCATAAAACTGGAAATCGGTTAATCGCATTTAATTTCTTCAATGCGATCCCTGCGGATGAGTGGTTATGGTGTTCGGCACGTACTTCAAAGGTACCGTGTTCGAACCTCGGCGCCACCCATTCATAGAATAACCTTGGACAAGTTACTAACGGCTATTGTCTCTGATCACCCGTCCGATAGCATGCTCACTACGTTGTGACATACACCGGTACTTCGATGCTAGTATGTGGTTAGTGAGTGTGTATGGGGGAGCTCGAGCAATTGGGCGAAAACAATTCTGTGTCAGGCTGACCTTCTGCCCAGAGCTACAGCTTGCTTGGCGACTAGTAGAAGAACGGGTGACCGTCTCTGAAGATCATCAGCTGTAGGGAAGAAATCGGGCTTATCGCAACTGCTTCGGCAGCCGGGGG